TGGTGACTCTTCTAAGCCAGTGCCGGTTCCCTCTTCGGTATATATATATATATATATATATATATATTTTTTAGCTTTTCAATTTGAAGAAGTACTTTTGAAGAGTCATTTTAAGAACAGTGAAAATTTTGCTACCAGAAGTCCTCACTACTGTGTTCTTAAGTGAATGTTGATTTCTGAGGTTTGGGGATTTCTTTTCTTTTCCTGTCCTCTTTCTTGCTTTTTATGTTATTTACTATAATGGCATCCATGAAGGTCGGGCATCAGAAGGACAAGGGTTATTTCTGTGCTTTTGGGGCATAACCGTTGTCAGTGCCGGTACCGGCCTCCTGCTGGCGGCTCACCTGTAAATCCCTGCTTCTCCTTCCCCATGCAGGGCACTGTCTTGCCGTCAGCAGTTGTCTTTCTAGACATGACAGTCATTTGGAATAAAAATTCAATTTCAGTGAGTGGCCTTTGTAATTACTGTTGCTGCACATCAAGCTCGATTAGTTACGCTTTCTGCCAGTTCTGTGTGGCTTTGGGTAAATTGTAAAAACTCTCAAAATTGAAGTTTACTGATGGGAAAAATCACAGTTCCTGTTATATAGAGAGCTGCTGCCATGTTCCAGGTAATTTTTCCTTCATTTTTTCTTTCCTTCATGTGGAAATTTTAAACACATGAAGTTAAAAATGAGCTATGCCCCTGTCAACTAGTTTTAAAAATTATTATTATTATCATTATTATTCTTTTTGAGACAGAGTCTTGCTATGCAGTTCAGGCCTTGCACTGATTTTGTAACCCAGGCTGGTGCAAACTTGGAAATGATTCTCCTGTCTCAGCCTCTCAAGTGCTGGGATTGTTACAGGCATGCGCCACCATGCTCGGCTAAAATTCCAGTTCTTGGAGAGTCTTGTTTTATCTGCTAGGAAACCTGCTCTCACTTCTACACACACACACACCATCAGTGGATTATTTTAAAACCACTTCTAATACCATATCTTTTCTCCATATGTGCTCAAGAGATCAGGTTATTTGATAACAGGTTGACATTTCTATACACGTAAAAGATTACATTCAGGCAAGAGGAGGATCGCTGTGGGTTCAAGGCCAACTGAATTGCATAGTGAGACCCTGTCTCAAAAGACATTAAAAAAAATAATAAAAAGAGCTAAGGATTTAGCTCTGGCCCAGAACCTGCCTGCTTGGCAAGCGTGAGGTGGTGAGTTTGATCCCCAGTGCCAAAAAGTAAATAAGTCTACATTCAATCTACCTGTTGAAAAACTATGATTAATCAAATTGTTGGCAGTTATACAAAGAACAATAACTTTTCCAAGTCTAGATTAATTTTACCTAAAGCTAGAAAAAACACATTAACTACGATCATAAAAAAATAAGATTATGAGCTGGCCAGGCAGTGGGTAGAGGTACCCAGCGCTCCAGCGCCTCCACAGGGAACCAAAGCCACGCAGGTCCAGCAATGCTTTGAGGCCAGAGACCCAGGGAGAGACCCCGGGACTCGCAGGGAAGTGAAAACCCTGTCAGCAGCCACACGGCAAGTGAGACGGTGCCCTGAGACCTGTAGCCCCGAGACCTGCTGCCTGGCTCCATAGGGGCAGAGGCCCAGCCGGCTCAGCACAGGGAGTGACAGTTGTAGCTGTGGGAGAAGTTTCAGGGCCCTTGCAGGTTTGCGGTATAAGTATAAGCAGATAAGAGACTTTGAGTCTGCACCGTAGTCTGGGTTTGGAAAAGGAGCTCGCTTCATCTCCCAGTGACCACCCAAGGGTTCAGTGGCCAGGAACCATCTTGGGTGGGGACCTATGCTCTGAACTGGGACTGCTTTAGGGGTCAGAATGCACCGCCCACGCTGCACCAGGGTCCTGAGGCTCCAGGTCCCTTGCTGGCCTCCAGAGCAGCCAGAACAGACAGACATGCATTGGAGCGGGAGCCAGGAGCCACACGCAGTCCCTGGGGAAAGTCCTGCTGCCCGCCAGGGGGCGCGCTCCCATTGTGGAAGGAGCCACACGGGCTGCAGCCAGCCGCAGCAGCAGACGGTGGGGTTCTCTGACTCCCGTGCAGCATGCGGTGTGCCCAGTGTTCACAGCTATGAAAAGATGCCGGAAATGAGCTCCGCACGGCACAACACAACAGCACCTCCAGATACATCCCTAGAAGAAGCCGCTTACTAAGCAGGGTGTTGGATCACAATGGGAGAGGGACCCACTCTGCCAGATGTGCAACCTTGACATAGGGAAGGACATGAAATAAACATGAAGTTTGTAGCACTAATGGATTGCAGAGATACCGAAATGAATGAAGAAACCTACTGATAAAGAAGTCGAAAAGCCATTTATGGTGACACATGCCTGCAATTCCAGCTGCGCAGAAGGCGCAGACCACAAGTTGGAGGCCAGTCTGAGCCACTTAGGGAGACCCTGCCCCCCAAAAAGGAGGGAGACGGGGATGTAGTCAGCATATCCTGGGTTTAATCTCTAGTCTGTATCTTTTGTCTCTTTCTCGCTAAGAAGAATAGTTACCAATAGTTCAGTGAGATTCAAGATAATACAGATTAATAGTTCAGTGAAACTCGGAAGACAGTTTAGGATATGGATGAGAAATTCAATAGAGATTTTTGTAAAAGAACCAGTCAGAAATCTTAGAAAAAGCTGGGTGTGTTGGCACACATTTGTAATCTCAGCAGTTGGGAGGCTGAGGCAGGAGGATCACTGAGAGTTTGAGGCCAGACTACATAGCAAGTTCAAGGCCAGCCTAAACTACTTAAGAAGAACCTGTCTAGGTTCACTGGAAGAACGACAGTCTCTTTAATAAATGGTGCTGGAAAAACTGGCTCTCCATTTGCCGAAAACTAAAGCTAGACCCATGTCTATCACCATGTACTAAATTAAAATCTAAATGGGTCAAAGATCTGAATATTAAAACAGAAACACTAAATCTATTGGAAGACAAATTAGGTTGAAACCTTGGAGACATAGGAGTAGGTAAAGAATTCATGAACAGGACTCAAACCGCATGGGAAATACTTCCCAGAATCAATAACTGGGACCATTTCTTATTAAAAAGTTTCTGCATGTCAAAAGAAATCTCCAGCATAGTGAAAAGAAAACCCACAAACTGGGAAAAGATTTTAGTGAACTCTCTCTCGGACAAGGGACTCTTGTCTAAAACATATAAAGAATTAAAAAAACTCAGACCTCCAAAATTCAAAGATCCAATCCAAAAATGGGCATCTGAGATGAATACGCAATTCTCAGATGAAGAAATGCAAATGGCAAATAAATACATGAAAAAATGCTCATCATCATTGGTCATTAGAGAAATGCAAATTAAAACCACACTGAGATACCATCTCACTCCTGAAAGAATGGCCAGGATCAAGAAAACCAACAACAAATGCTGGAGAGGCTGTGGGGAAAAAGGAACTCTCCTGCACTGCTGGTGGGAGTGTAGACTGGTACAGCCTTTGTGGAGATCTGTCTGGAGATTTCTCAAAAAGTTGGGATTGGAAATCCCATTTATTCCAGCTATTCCACTTCTAGGCATATTCCCAGAAGAACTGAAAGCATCATACCACAGTGATATATGTGCACCTATGTTTATAGCAGCACAATTTGTAATCGCCAGATCTTGGAAACAACCCAAGTGTCCATCAACTGAGGAATGGATAAAAAAGTTGTATTTCTATACAATGGAGTATTATTCAGCTATAAAGAAGGATCACATTGAGATATTTATCAATAAATGGGCGCAGCTTGAGACCATACTCATAAGTGAAATAAATCAATCTCGCATGTGTGAATACCGAATAGTTTCCCTAATGTAAGTAATGATTCAAATATATGAAAATATGTGGTAATCATGATTCCCCATTAGGTGGCCTTGAAGCCTTATAAAGTTTTCACTCATTAATTAGAAAGGCTTTATTCTGGGCTTCTTGATATGGAAATATTTGAAGCTAGAGTATATGAAGTTTTATCCAAATATTTCAAGGAAAAAGGCACTATGGTAACTACTATTAAGTCGAGTTATATGGTAGTGAAGTACTAGGTTGCTGAAACAGTCATGCTTTGACCTCTATTGTTATATTGTTATGTCCTGTTTTATCTCAATCTCCCCCTTATTCTTTTAAAAAAAATTATTTAGTCATTTCTTATGTTTGTCTTAATTAAGGGAAAAAATTTAAAAAATTAGGATATATAAATAGTAACTCTTTGATTTCCTATTAACTTGTTTTGAAGTCCTGTAATACTCCCACGATCTTGTTTTGACTGATTAGACTCTGTTCCATTCTGTATGATAGTATCAAATTTGAGGATCTAGGCAACTACTCTGAAGGCAATAAGATTCACTAAGATGCCCATTCTGGTTTGACTATTGTCTTCTTTGGAAGTCCTGTAATGTTTACAATGCCTAAGTTTTATTGGTCTTGTTCTCTACTGTTTTGTCCAACTTTATAATATCTAATGAGATAGACAATTCTTTTTAAGGAAACAAGAGACAACGTTGATAACCATTGTTGATAACCTTGTACTCTGTTCTACACCATGTGCTATGTCTATCCTTGGTTTTGACTGACAGCTCTGTTTTGCCATATTTGACTGTATTCTCTCCCCCCCCAAAAAAGTAATAAGAACTAAGGAGTAATAAAATCCAAAATGTGTAAATTTTGTTGTAAAAAAGAGAGGGGAAAAAAAAAAAGAAAAAGAGCTCTAACGGATATAACAGCAAGTGTGTTTAGGGGTGTTAAATAGCTGACTATATCAATGTTTTTGGATCATTGAACACAGCTGTTTGCAGTCTCCCTGTTTGAATGTCCACCTTGTATTCTTTGATACTGTGATTTGAGCAACTATTTTCAAGATGATAATATGTAATCTATTAACAGGTGATTTCTTACTGTTACGGTTTTTTTTTTTTCGTAGTTCTGTATTACGTGTTCCCTTACACCGCTTTGTTTTGTTTTGTGTTTTTCTCTTTTTCCTCTTAAATAAAAAAAAAAAAGAAGAACCTGTCTCAAAAAAAAAAAAGAAAGAAAGAAAAGAAAAAGAAAAAGAAAAAAAGAAATCTTGGAAATGTGATGTCCTGTAAGTCAGATAAATTCAGTCAAAAGTCTTAGCAATAGATTAAATCAGGTTGAAAGAATATCATAGTTGAAAGAAGACTATCAAATACAGGTCTTTTGATTACTGAAACAGAAACAAAAATTAAGAATGAGGATACATTTGAGTTCTCTGGGACACTACTAAAAGATCAAATGTCTACCTTACTGACATACCCAAAAAAGAAAAAATAAAGTTTAAGGACATAAAAAAAAAAAGTCCTGTTCATGGAATAGTAGAAAACTTACCTAATCTTGGGAAAAGCACACGTATTCCTCAGCAGGATGCCGATACAATCCCAAAGAAATGGTCAGAGAAGAGGTCGTACCATGACATAGTTGTAGTAAACTGTTAAAAGTATAAAAAGAAAGACAAAACTTTACAGTCTGCAAGAGAAAAGTGCCAGTATACATTTAAGGGAAACTTCATTAGACCAACAGTAGAAATAACAGCAGATTTCTCAGTGGAAACCCTAGAATGTCAGGAAGCATGAATTGATATATTTCAAACCCGAAAGATTTCTGTACTCAAAATATCCTGAAGAACGAGAAGAGAAATTAATGTCTTGGAAGCTCCTTAAAAACGGAAGGAATTTATAACCACCAGATATTTGAGAGTATTACTACTATAAACTCTCAGACCACAGAGATGAGTAAGAGGAACAATCAGAATATTCAAAAGAACTGAAAGAAATTCAACAAAACAACAGGCACAAGTCCATACTTTTCACTAATTACTTTGAATATAAGGGTCTTAGCTTTCCAGCTAAAACAGATTGACCTGACCAGATTAAAAAAATAGGATCCGACAGGTTGTTTCACTTTAGGACACACACTGAAAGTGAAAGAATGGAAAACAGTCTGCTAAGAAAATGAAACCTAACAACAGTTGTAGCTATATTTACATCTTACAAAGTAGATTTTAAGACAAAAACAAGAGGAGGCAAAGAAGGTCTCTATGTAATAACTGAAGGATCAATCCATGAAGAAGATAAAAGAACTATAAATCTTTGTGCACCTAATAATGGAGCAGGCTGTTTTGTTAGAAAATCCCATTATACTTAATGGGAGATATAGATAAAATCCAATTTTATTAGGTATAATCTTATTAAACCTAATGAGAGATATAGCATTGAAATTAAAAAGTAGTTGGAGATTTTAATAATCCACTGTCAATGATGTAGGCAGAAAAATTAACAAAGAAACACCAGAAGCTGGAATAGTGGTATATGCTTTTAATCCCAGCTACTTGGGAGACTCTTGCAGGAGAACTGTAAGTTTGAGACCATCCTGGGCAATATAGCAAGACCTTCTAAGAGAGAAAGAAAAGAGGCCGGGCATGGTGGCACATACCTGTAATCCCAGCTCTTGGGAGTCTGAGGCCAGCTCAGACTACATAGTGAGCTCAAGGCCAGCCTGAACTATATAGTGAGACACTGTCCTCCCTTCAAAAAAAAAAAAAAAAAGAAGGAGGGAAAGAAGCTAGAGGGGGAAGATCAGACTTAAGCTATAATAGGGATCAAATGGACTTAGTATTTCCAGAATGTTCCAGCCAACAACTGCAGAATACAGATTCCTTGCATCCATGCGTGCAACTTTCTCTAGCATAGCCCACATATTAGGCTAGAAAATAAGTCTTCATGAATTGCAAAAAACCCACATTAATCTTTTGTTACCACAATGGAATTAAACTAGAAATCAAGAGCAAGAAAAACTTTAGAAATGATACAAACTGTGGGAGGCCTGAGGGGGACCTGAGGTCTGACTGACCTCCTCTGTGAGGCAGCATGTACTGCAGGTTCTGGGGAAGAGCAGTGCAGCTGGGATTAGGCTGTTTCCCTGGGTTTGTGCTAATGGGTAGGGGAAGGGAGGTGAGTCTAGTGCTACTTTAACTGCTTGTAACCGTGTTTGGGGAAAAGCAGGATGAGCCAGATGCCTAGGGCTTCTCTGCCTACCTGGCTGCCCTCCTGCTAATCTGACCCCGGGTCAGGGTCATAAACTAGCAGGACTAGGTCCCTACAGGTGGTGCCTGGGTGGGGAAAGACTGGAATGGGCTGGTTCCCCATGGGTGGCACCTGGACAGGCACCTGAGTAGACCAATTCGCCACAACAAATATTGTCTTGGTTACTTTTCTTATTGCTGAGACAAAACACCTGACACTCAAAGGAGGAAAGATTTCTTTAACTTGTTTGTAGCGGTTTCAGCCCATAATCAGCTGGCTGCAAGGCAGGGTGGCATGGCAGACCAGCATCACAGAAGAGAAACAGTTCATGGTGGGCAGAAGGTAGCAAAGCAAGCAAGCAAGCAACCAAAAGTAGGCACAGTAGCTTTTTTTCTACCCCTCTTCTATCCTATCCAGGTTCCCTGGCTTAGGGTGAGGGCTAAACCAATCAGTGGACTAATTCAGTAATCACACACCCTTAACCCCAGCATCAGACATTCTAGATCTGGCCACCTCTGAAAAAGCCCTAGCTATGACTGCATGAAACTGCATGAAACTTTGGGGCAACATGGAGACACAGCCATAGCGTAGAGGGAGACTAACACACTGGACGTGAACTCACTATGTAATCCACGCTGGCCCCAAATTCATGACAATCCTCCTGCCTCAGCCTTCTGCATTCTGGGGTTACCAGCATGCACTATGATGCCTGGATGAATAGCACACTTTTGCACAAACAGCAGGTCATTAAAGTAGGGAGGAAAATTTAGAAATTTCTTGTAACAAGATGAAAACACAACAGAAGAAGTTCTAAAAGGAAAGTTACTAGCAGTGACTGCCTAGATCAAAAACAACAGCAAGATACAAATAAATGACCTGATGATGCATCTCAAGATCTTAGAAAAGCAAGAACAAACCATGCTCAAAATTAGTAGAGGGAAAAAAGATAAGTAGAGGAACAGGAATAATAAGGATCATAGTAAAGATAAAGTGGTCTACAGGTATAATTTAAAAGTCAATGAAACAAGGCATTGAAAAGACAGACAGAATAGCAAGAAGAAAATGGCTGAGTGGTGACCAGTATCAAAACACAGCCTCTCTGAGACCCAGAACCCAAACACTGGAAAACAGCAACCTGCTGAAGAAAAAACAGCAGCAGATCACATGAATGAGGAGGGAACTGACAGGAGAAGCTAGAAGCTAGAAGCTATAGAGAAGTTGGAAAGTCATTCCACATGCAGAGAAAAGAAAAAAATGACACAAATACTAATCGAAGATTAATTGGAATTAGTGGACAATCAGAAGACAGCTCAAACGAAGCGAAAAGGTGTGTGAGAAGGCTGTGATTTTGGGATTAAGGGTGTGAATAATGGAAGCTCCACCGTGTGGGTGGCACCAATCAATCAGTTTATACCCTGGATGGAACGGAGAGAGAGAGAAAAGCCAGGCGGAGGCTGTGGCTGCGGGCTGCCTCCTGCCTGACATTCCATGGAAAATTTTTAAAAATTAAACCTCCCCAAATAAAAACTCAATCAAAAAATGAGTAAGTGACATGAACAAACACTTCTCAGAAGTACAGATGATCAATAAATACATGAAAAAATGCTCTCCCAAAGAAAAGCAAACGAAAGCTACAGTGAAAGACCGTCTTGCCCCAGAAAGAGTGGCTGTCATCATCTAAGAATCTAAAAATACCAAATACTGGTGAGGATGTGGGGAAAAAGGAACTTTAGTACATTTTTGGTAGGAATGTGAACTAGTCCAACCACTATGGAAACCAGTGTGGAGATTCCCCAGAGAACTAAAAGAAATTCCAGTTTATTCAGCTATCCCCCTCCTAGCTGTTCCCCCAAAAGTTAAAATCATCATATTACAAGGATACATGTATACCCATTTTATAGCAGCACAATTTATAATAGTGGAATCTTGGAAATAATCTATATGTCCATCAACAGATTAAAGATTTATACATGATGGAGTACCACGCTGTAATAAATAAAGATAAGCTTGAGGAATTTATAGGTAAATGGATGCAACTTGAGACAACAATATTAAGTAAAATAAGTCAGACACACAAGCTCAAAGATTGCCTGGAAATAGGAGAAATATATGCATATGCACACAAATAAAGATAAATAGGAAGTAGGGATAAATTAAAATATTTCCTTAAGTTACATATTTGTTGGTTGTTGGGGGCTGGGGATTTAGCACAGTGGCATAAGCGCCTGCCTTGCAAGCACATGGTCATGAGTTTGATCCCGGATACTGATAAAAAAAAATTACATATGTGTTGTTTTAAAAACATTTCAATATATACGCTAATTTGCTTCATTTATAGTAAAAGTTTATTTTAGTTCAATAAAAGAAAATTTGTGTTGCTGTTTTTTTAAGACTCTCTGGATTATATCTTATACTGCATGTTATTTTAAAGATAGTGATACACATTGTAATAAGTATTCTTATTCTCATTTATGAAAATGTCTTATTGTTCATAAAGAGAAAAAAGTGCTACAGAAAGAACAGGGCAAAAAATAAGACCACACACTAGCCAATAAAGCAAGCTTAAATAAATATAAAACAACTAAAATTGTACTATGTGTACTATCAGATCATAGTACAATGAAACCAGATGATATGAGATATATATGAGTACATATATAGTACATACATATATAGTACAATGAAACCAGATATCAATGATAAAACACAGAAATTATATAAATGCATTGAAAATAAACAATATATTTGTTTATTTATTGTTATTCTGTAGTTGACTGGCCTTGAACTCACTATGTAGCCCAAGCTGACCTGGGCTGTGATTATAGTTGTGCCCTGCCATGCCCAGCCCTAAATAATACACTCAAATAAACAATTGGTTACAGAATAAACAAGGAAGGAGTAAGACGGTTTCTAGAACTAAATATTAATGCCAGTACAAAGTACCGGAACTCGTGGAACACAAGGAAAGCTCTCCCAAGAGGGCAGTGTACAGCGGTGAGGGCCAGCGTCACAAGAGCAGAATGAGCCCAAATAAATAACCAAACAATACATTTCAGGATCCTAGAAAAGAACAAGCCAAACGCAAATCTAGTACCAGGAAGGGAATTATGAGGATCACAGTAGAACTCAATGAAATTTAGACCAAAAAAGAAAAATACAAAGAATCAATGAATCGAAAACTTTTTTCTTTGAAATAAAGTAGACAAACCTTTAGCCACTCTAACAAAAAAGAGAAGACTCAAATCAATACAGTGAGAAATGAAAAAGATGAAATTACAACGAACATTGGCAAAACCTGAAGAGATTATTAACAACTACTTCACAAACCTGTGTGCCAATAAATTGGAGAATTTAGAAGAAATGGATAATTACTAGATACGTATTAATTATCCAAACTCATCCAAGAAAATTTATTTTTTACAATTTGAATTTTGTATTTCAGAGATAGAAATTAAGGTAGTGAATTTAAATTTCTTCCCCATGGAAGGCCACATAAGGGAAATGACCATTTGCAAATCTCTTCTAGGCTGAATTCTGAGTTGTTTGTTGGATGTTAAAATTTTTCAAAGTCGAAAACAAAAATCCAGGGAGTTCAATGTAGGCCACAGACTATAATTCCTAAGACTGAGGCTAATCTCTCATTTGTTAGAATAACTGGCACCCAGGACACTGCTTCTACTCAGACCCTGGGTCTCCCTAAAGCAGGCACCACACACTGCCAAGAGCCTCCATGCGTGGATGGTTACCCACCGTTATAGATTAAGAACTGGTGGTCAACTTAATGCCAGCTGGATTACATCAGCATGGCACTGAGTGTAGATGCTCTACCTGAGGAAAGTTTGCCAGCATAGAGAGGTGGAAAAGGAGAAGGAGGGCGTTAGGGCGTTAATGCATTAATGCATTGTGGGTTCTCCTTCGAGTTGCTGTTTGAGCCACTGGTTCTGGAGAAGTTTTGGTCCTCACATCAAGCATTGCTTCCTGGCTCTGGAGGGGAAGACACATGCCACTTGGTCTCCAGGATGAACTCGTCATTCTGGCTTCCTGGCAGGTACTCGACTGTGCTTGTTGCCAGAGGAGCTCGGGGCCTCCGTGTCACTGAGGATGGCGGTGGTGCCTTTCAGGACAGCCCTGGCCTTTGTTGTAAGTGTGGTTTCTTGGCTCATAGAACCCTCATCCCACCAACACAGCTCCTTCACCCTGCTGGCATGGACTTTCTGGCTTCCACCGCTGACCCAAAGCTTTCCCAGCACAGATCCCTAAAAGAGACTGGCATGAGTCCATCCTGTAGGTTCTGGACCTCCAGCTGGACTCATGGGAGGCACTGTCATGAGCTCTGGGTTTTCAGCTGGACTCATGTGGGACATTGCTGTGGGATTCAGGCCCTTGACTAAATAATCTATGTCTTTGGTGTTGCGGATAGATTTCCTGCATTTTCTTGTGTTAACTCCCGGTGATCATTATAAAAATAATATTATAAACTCCATGTCCTGATTCTAATTGTTCTCTATACAACCCCTGACTACAACATACCCACAGCCAACCCCCTGCTCTCAAAGGAAAGGCACCCAGAGGTGCTGCTGGCAAAGTAAACAGGACTGGCTCTGTGGACCACTCCTCACTACCCTTTATGCCCCCAAGAAGCACCTACTATTCTGAGTTATGTTATGTCAAAAATATCCTGCATTCTTAGGTTCTAAACCAAGAAAATTTAAAGACCCTGAATCCAATGACAGGCAATGACATTGCAGGGGTAATAACAGATCTTCCAACTGAGAAAGGCCCTAGCTCAGTCACTGCTGAATTCTGCAAAGACTTTCCAGGAAGATCTAACACCAATATTCTTTAAGCTCTAACAAAATTGCAAAGGAGATTGCACTCCCAAAGCCATTCCTGGAAGCTACCAGAATGATTCCAAAACCAGACAAGGATCCCACCAGAAAAAGGGAACTATAGACCATTCTCTTTAATAAATACAGATGCAATAACCCTCAACTAGTTACTGGCAAATGTAACACAACCAATGTTCAAAAAGATCATACATCATCTTCACATAGGCTTCATCCCAGGGAAACAGAGATGGGTCCACATATGCCAATCAATAAATGTCATACATCACATGAGCAGCAGCCGGGACAAAATCACATGATCCTATCAGTAAATACAGGAAGTACCTTTGACAAAATTCAACATCCATTCTTCCTAAGACCTCTGAAGAAAATAGGTATAGAAGTATCTTATCTCAATCTGCCAAACCAACAAGTATCATCATATTAAATGTGGAGAAACTGAAAGCTTACCCTGTAAAATAAGGAATAATGCAAGGATGCCAACTATCACCACTCCTTTTCAATACAGTCTGCCAAAACTTGGCAAGAGCAATTAGGCAAGAAAAAAGAGATACCTATAAGGAAAAAGCCAAATTGTTAATAGGGTAAATGACACGATCCTGTACATAAAAGACCTAGAAATTACACCAAAAGATGCCTAAATCACCACAGTCAGTAATGCAGTCAGTAACACAACAACACACAAAATCAGCAGTGTTCCTGAACACTAATAATGAACCCGCTGAGAAATTAGGAATAAATACCATTTACAATAGCATGAAGAAAAACTAAACATGTAGGAATTAAGCTAACTAAGGAAGTAAAAGAACTTTACAACAGAAACTGCAATATTCCCCCAAAAAGAAAAGAACCAGGCATGGGGGCACATGCCGACAATCCCAGCACTCAGGAGGCTGAGGCAGGAGGAGCAATATGAGTTCAAGGCCAACCTAGGCTATGTAGCAAGTTCAAGGTCAGCCTGGATTACATAGCAAGACCTTGTCTCAAAATCAATCAATCAATAAACAAAATAAAATAAGTTTAAAAAGGAAAAAATAAAAACAGACATTAGAAAGTGGAAAGGTATTCTTGTTTCTGAATAGGCAGAACCAATATAGTCAAAACAGCTGTACTTCCAAAAGTCATATACAGATGTAACACAGTTCCAACTAAAATACCAAAAGCATTCTTCGTGGAATGGGAGAAAGCAATCCTAAAATTCATGTGAAGCCAGGAAGATGGGGGAGTGGTGAGCAGCACAGAAAGAGCCCTTCCAAGATTTGGTGTCCAGATGCTGGAATACAGCAACGAGAGGAAGAGAAGAGGGAGGGGAGGCTATGAACCAAGAACTGAAGCAGCCCAAGGGGAGAGCAAAGGGTGGTCATTTCCTAAGGTTCTAAATGCTAGTGAATGCCAGAGGCAGTTTACCAGCATCAACCCAGAAATTAAACTCAAAAGAGTAGAAAATGAGAAGATGCTTAAACAAGATGCAACCCCACACTTCCAGCTCACCAAAGGCTAACCCAAGGGGCAGTGAGGGGGACAGCCTGAAAGCCACCCATCCGGCCTCTGTGCAGTGGTAACAGGGGAAGACTAATGAACAAAGCTGTAGAAAAAAATCAAATCAGAAATAATTTCTCAGATAACTACAGAGATGGTGACCATGATGAAAGGCATGGTTAGTGATTATAGAGCAGATGCAGATTTAAAAAATAGAGGAAGCTAAGGAAACAATGGAAATCATGAATGTCAAACATAGAGAAGAAATGGAATCTATAAAAGAGATTCAAACAGATATCCAGGAGATTAAAAATTCCACTGAAAGTATACGCAGCAGAATGAACCAATATGAGAACAGGCAATCAGATATAGAAGACAGGATTGCAGTTAGAGATCATGAAAAAAAAGATCCCTTAAAAATAGTAAGGGACCAGGAGAAATTGATCCAACAACTGATAGATGATGCAAAGAACAGTAATATAAGATTGATCAGAGTCGATGAAAAAGCAGAAGAGAGCACAATGACATAAAAAACCTGTTCACATCCATCACGGCAGAACACTTTCCTGGAAGGGAAGAATAATTGGACATACAGATAAGTGAGGCATATAAACTCTATTAGCCATGATCCAAAAAAAAAAAAAAAAATCTGGGGATTTAGCTCAGCAGCATAAGCGCCTGCCTTGCAAGCAGGCAGTCGTGAGTTCAATCCCTGGTACCGATAAAAAGGAAAAAGACCAAAAAAAAAAATCTGCACCAAGGCATGTAATTATCAAAATTCCAGAAATTCAACACGAGAGCAGAATATTAAAAGCTGTTAGAAAAAAGACATAAATCACCTGTAATACAAAGCCCATCAAAATCACAGCTGACTTTCCAACAGAATCCCTTAAGTCAAGGAGAGCCTGGAGTGAAGTAGTTCAAGGCTCAAAAGAAAACAACAGCCAACTGAGATTGATGTACCCCACAAATCTCTTTCAAAATTGGTGGAGAAATAAGATATTTCCATGGCAAAGAATACCTGAGGAAATTCATGACCCCCAAACCAGCGCTCCCAAGTGTTC